CAAAAGCATTATTATTGAAGGTCTCCTTGATGCATAAGCATCGTATGGGGTGTGGTCGGGTGACCGACTGCTCCTAGTACTGTGGCAAAATGACTAGTCCTTATTAGGGACTTGAAAAGGAATATTATGGTGGCGTTCACGAGCAATTGGTCCGATGTAAACTTGGACTCGCGAACCGAGGTGTCCCAGACATATCATCTTAGTGCTGGTGGTAAGCGGGTTTGTTGTAGCAATACGGCTTTCCCGTGGACATCGCACACCCATACCATTTGTGGGCGACGTCGTAGCGCATAGCGATGCGTCGTCTGTCTTTCGGATTGGGATGATGAGTGTGTTTGGTTAGCACTTTTAAGTGTAACAGGCATACTCAACTTCATGTCTTAGTGTATTAGCGCTATGATACGTGGAGTTTTGTCCACTGGCATCTTAGTAGCGTGCTACTATGATACGTTGGGTGATATTTTTTATATAACAACAATAAAAACTTTGTTACCAAAATCGATAGGGGTCATATGGGTGTGTTGTGAGGGGGCGCCATTCGTATGATAGTTGCATTGATGCTTACTGCTACTTGCGGTATTGCGTCTTGTGATGGATCTGCGGGTGTGCTGCGCCTGATTCGACGCATTCTTGTGGTTCTGGTCGATGGAGGTAAACAAATGAACCTCTTAGTGCCGGTGGTAAGCGGGTTTGTTGTAGCAATACGGCTTTCCCGTGGACATCGCACACCCATACCGTTTGTGGGCGGCGTCGTAGCGCATAGCGATGCGTCGTCTATATTTCGGATTGAGATGATGAGTGTGTTTGGTAGCACTTTTAAGTGTAACAGGCACACTCAACTTTATGTCTTAGTGCATTAGCGCTATGATACGTGGAGTTTTGTTCATTGGCGTCTTGGTGGCGTGCTACTATGATACGTTGGTGATATTTTTTATATAACAACAATACAAACTTTGTTACCAAAGTCGATAGGGGTCATGTGGGTGTGTTGTGAGGGGGCACCATCCGTATGATGATGCTTACTGCTACTTACGGTATTGCGTCTTGTAATGGATCTGCGGGTGTGCTGTGCCTGATTCGACGCACTCTTGTGGTTCTGGTCGATGGAGGTATGCAGGTGGTGATGTCTGCTGGGATGTATGGGGGACCTTGGGATGGTGTAAGCCCTACGATAGTCGTATTGATGCTTGTTGCGTTCTGCAGCGTTGCGTCTTTGCGATGGTTGTTTGGTGGGACGCTATTCTCAACGGCGCTCTCTGCGTCTTGGTTTGACTCACGCCTGAGTAGCTTTGCCCAAGTCGGGTCCCTTCATTACGGGGCTGCAGACTGTCTGCCCTCCACAATGTTTTATATAACAACATAATATTATATCTCTGTAACTTTCCCACCTTTGAATGATTGAAGGCAACTTGTTGGTGGGTGAGACAAACATGATCGAAAATGCATTTACTCAACGTCAGTGACACAAACCCTTTCTGATGGCGAATTATTACTCTTATCTTATAACTGCCTTTTGGCTATATATGCCGTTGTATTGGTTGGTGGAGCATATGTGTCGACCTCATGCGGGTGGTAGCTGGTGGGAGGATCTGAGGAGACTCTCAAGGCTGCAGCCGAAAGCCGCACAACGTGGGACCCCATTCCCTTGAGGTGAGCGGTAGACACATGACACGCTCTGCGGCTAGAAGCCGTGCTGATCATGCAATTGGTGGTGATGCCATACACTTACATCACGTCTGCAGTAGCGGCGGTCTGACAGGTGGTGGTGCTCACGGAGAGTTTACGGCCAGTGGCTATTTGCCTAAACCGTGTGACGTACATTCACTGTGGCTGGATTCGTTCGTATTCTGTATGGCGTTTACACGCATTGACATGCGCGACTTCGGTTGATGTTTGTGCTTACGCACTAACAAGGGGCCAAACCTCTTTTACTGGTTCGCCAGTTATTTTGCTGTGGACTACGGTCCAGTTCCCGAATTAGCGTTCCCTTCGGGGGGAGTGCATCAAAATGGTTGGCACTCACCGTGCACGGCGTGTGTGGGGCCGTGTACCTCCCCTACATTTTTTTTAAAAATAAATGTAGGAGAGCGAAGCCCTTGTATCGGGTATTTTGTATAAATATATTTTGAGCCTTTTCCGAGCGGGAAGGGATAAATAATATTAAGTTAATAATGTAAGCCTGATACAAGTGGAATTGGGACGTTTTATGTTTTTAACCTTTTCTCGAGCCCTGTCTTCGTGAACGGGGTTCACTTAGCTTATAAGGCACTACCAACAGCTTTCAATTGCTCTAGCGAATATTCATTCTTCCAAAAGGCACCTAAAAGAACTAAGTTACTAAACAAACACAACGTAAATAAGGGTCCTAACTAAGACGATCACGCCAAAATATTACAAACGGCCTATTATTAAACCTTTAGAAAGATCATTTAGAAAGATCTAAACATAATTTATTAATCCTGGTCATATATATATATATATATATATATATATATATATATATATATATATAATTTTTATTATAAAGGTGAATTAATTATTATACTTAATATAATAATATTTTTATACATAGAGAGGGGGGACCGTTACACTATGAAAGATAGTATTGTACTGTCGCAAGGCGCCAGAAGGAAACTATACGATATCAAGCATGGCAACTATGACCATTGTCCAGAAGTGGAATTTTGACATGCTGTAATGAATATGTGCAATGCGTTTTTTTTTTTAGAAATTTATTTATGTGATTTATTTGTATTGTACTAACACCCAAAATCTACCTCAGTTTCTTTCGGTTTGTAAACTCGCAATCCTTTTGTCAGCCTAGAAACCTTCCCCCCCGAACGGGTTCCCGCCTTGTCGTGGCGGGGGGCTTAGTAGCCGTGGCTTGGTCTCCCACAGTGAACAAAGAGGAACCCACGTGGCTGGCCCGAGGTGAAGGGCCGGCCTGAGGTGGCCACTCCGAGTGGGCTTGGGGAGCCCACTTTGGATGTGTGCTGGTGGACTGCAGCGAGTGGGGACTCGCGCACCCTCTACCGCTGCAGCCGAGGTGGAGTCGCGGAGGAAGAGGAGTGTTGGTATGGCGATGCGCCACTCGCCCTATCCTTCGCGACTCAAACGGGGCCGCACCGTTGATGCGGTGGTGGTGGAGCTGCGGGGGGAGAGGATTGTCGGTATTGCGAGGCGCCGCTCTCCCTACCCTCCGCAGCCGAATCTTGGTTGGCGGCGGAGCCATAGACCAGATCCGCCGCTGGGGTCGGGAAGGCTAGTGCTTCTAAGTGCTCGTTTTTCCTGGCCCCATGGCCTTTGTGCATCGGACGCGGGGGGCGTCTGTTGCACAGACGTAATTGGAGGCCGTGGAGGAAGGCGCGCCATGTCTTCTGGTGCGCCTTACCTGGGAAGGAGAACGGGGAGGAATTTTCCTCTCCCGAGGAGGTGCTGCCATGGGGCGGCAGGCGCTTGTAGGGCCGCGGGTGTGTGCGAAAGTGTTCCCGTAGCCCTGCCAATATGCGACAAAGGTGGAACACCATGGGGTTTTAGTCGGTGCGAGTCCGACATAACCCGTCCTTGCCCCCGCGAGGCGGGTATGCGTAGGCATTACCCCATGTAAAAAAAAAGCCTAGAAACCTTTAATATAATAGTGCTTAAAGCTTCAAATGCAGTCCATACAAACTAAATACTCAATTTTATTAACATTTATGTTTTTTCAACATAACAAATCTCAGATCTAAAATTTAAAATTGTTAATTTTGTATTTCACAGAAACCGCGTGTTAATGGCAGGTGGCGATATAACCATTTATCTTATTAACAACAGGCGTAAAATACCCGACTAGCAAAGGGAAGCAGTGTCGAAGGTGCGAGACGTCTAGATATGTCTGTCCTATGTCGGTACCCGCTCTTAATTGTATGAAATTAATTGTTATAATTTTTAAAACTTATGAAAATCTTAATATAATGATTAAAATAATTATTGGCGGGAAGTCGAGTGACAATTGTTTTATATTACAAGTTGAAGTTTGTCCTCCTTAGCAATAATGGTATTAACGCGAAAACATTTTAGGGCGACGATTTTATATTCATTTGACTACCGTAAGGCGTAGTATCTCTCCATGATGAAACTCGTGAAGACCGACCCTCAACTGCAATTACTGAGGGAAATGTAGCTACTTTTAGGCGACTAATTGAAGAAAATCTATGCTATGACTGCCAATACTTACTTGAGGATATTTGAGTATTGGTTTGAGACAAATTTAAAAACCGGAAACCCATATTGACCTTTGTAAGATTTAGATGTCTACGCACCACATCATTCACTTACCATCAGGTGTACTGTGTGCATGTTTGTCATCCATATTCTATTAAAAAAATACGATTTCCTTATTTTTCTAAAGATCTAATACTTCGTGAGTGGTTTGAAATGTCAAACCACAAATGAAGTATTAGATTTTTAAATGTAAGGAGCATAAATCTAGACTTTAGCAAGATTTATGATAGATAGTAATTGTTCTTACTATTTACATTGTTATTTTGTTTACTAATAGAAATTGGCTTTGGTTATCCTCGTGTCACCAATACTCCATCTATTGCCTAAGTCTGAAAGCAAATACTGAAATCTTATGATGATCCTTGTAGAAGTAATTTCTCAAGCTGTCTCTACAACCAATAATTTTCTGTCAGTTTTATCGATAACCTACGATGACCTCAGGTATCAAATATTTCAACAGTTGTCGCCTTCTATTTATGTAATTAAATAAATTATATTCGATTACTATATATCTATAATTATTTTGTGTTTATATCTCAAAATAAGCGCGGGTTTAAGTTTATAAAGAAAATGTGTCATTAAAAGTCTTAACTTTCATTCAAATTTTATTAATTATTTATACAACTAAACAAAATACAAGCAATTATAAAACTTGTGAAAAAACAGGGACTAAATAACAATTCATAACAGTTTATTTAGTAACCAAATAACAGTTCACAGAAATCATTTAAATTTTATCACCAGCGTCTTGGGTGATAAAAGAATGGAGGCGGTGGTGGAGGAGGTGGTGGACGATAAAATCCACCACCGTAACCGAAACCAAGTCTTCCACCAACTATCACTACTGGAGGTCCTCCCCAACCACCAATCCATTGACATTCAATAAGCTGGGGAAAAAAACATATTAAACTTTAATAAGCACAGATGATAGATGTTATAGTAACTCAAAAAAAAAAAAGAAAAGGACCACTTTGTTGTCCTTCCGTCTGTTCGTCTACCGAAGCCCTTTCTTTCAGAAACCGATAAGTCAGTAAACTCAATATCAAATTTAAATTAATTTCCAATACTAACGTACAGTTACAGTTCCTTAAAAATTAAAAAAAATCAAGCTTCTAAATCAATACAATTAAAGGAATGGCCATTTGTCACATATCCTTACTTTATTATTTTTCACGCGGTAGAGCTATGCTACAGTTATGGGTCGGCTCGACCAGAGAAGGACCACGCTCTCACAAAATACTAGTGTAAAATAGTAGCTTCATGCTGCTGTGTTTCGTATGGTGAGTGTAGAGAACCGGATACCCCATTTTTACTGGAAACGAGGCATTTCATCTAAGTCCTCACGGATGACAACGCATCTGCATTTTGATTCGTAATCGAGGATAGATGCAAATGTATATGGGCCACAGCAACCACTTACCATCAGGTGGACTGTGAGCTCGTTTGTCATCCTATCCTATAAAAAAAATCTTTATACTCGCAAAATCACTCATATTTAAACCGAAAATTTGACAAAGAGCGAGAAGAAATGAAAAAATAATCCGAAAACCATTTTTTTTTGTAGATATTTCACATTAAACTATTCACACATATATTAAAGTCCACTGTTGAACAAGGCCTCCCCCATAGATTGTCTCATAGTGGGTATATTTACCATAGTTACTACGCTTAGCAAGCGGGTTAGCAACCGTTTTTTTTTACTTTTCGTTGATATTAGAAGATGCTGCTACCCATCTCCTGATTCGTTTCCTTCTATCGCCTCTTACGACACCCACGGGATAAGAGGCAGTGGATATTCTTACACCGCCACTGCATGGTCGGGATGGATGAACTATCTACACACAAATTTTGAGAGAAAACACGAAGAAGCAAAGGAAACTACCACAGTGCGACATTTTAATCGAACAAACCTATTCGCGTTTTAGAACATTTTTGGTGTTTTAGAAAATTCAGTCACGTTGCTTAAGTGGACTTTACCGCTCCTCTATCTTTTATTTTATTTAATCAGATGTACAATTTTCCCTCATGAATCGTCATACTATGCTACCAAACACAATTATTATTTATTATGCGATTAACAAGTGATGCCTAAGATGGAATTCAAGGTGCTCACATAGAGAGCCATATAAATTTATTTTATTAACTAAATTTTAAAAAAATTAATAAAGACATTATGCCCGAAAATATGACATAATAAAATATATATACAAACGAATACAGTATCCTCCTCTGACAATTGAATACTATTAAAAATAAAATATATTTTCCACATTATAGCTGGGGGTCATTGTAGAAGCATGCTCGTCGCGACCCTTGCCAGCCCTTTTCAGGGCTGCAATTCTACACAGCTGCGCACCCATGCAAACGAGAGTTAGGGCGTCCCCCCAAGGCGATGCACACCAGCTGGTCACCGTTGGTGTGGAATGCAGCGCGCAAAGCGGCGATGGGGACCGCCACCCGTCACGCACAGCCCGACACGGCGGAAGGTGGAGGACGGAGTGCAGAGTTGGCACGTGGAATGTTAGAGGGGGGCATGAGAAATAAGACGAATGAGTTGATCGAAATAATGAAAGAAAGAGAATTAGATGTCGTGTGTATGTCGGAGCCCAAACGGAAAGGCAGTGGTACTGAAGAGCTCCCTGGCGGGACTATATGGACTATATGGTTCGGAGTCCCGGCAAGCGAGAACGCCTGCCAGGGAACGGGGGGTGCTGTTGTCGTCCCGGTTGGTCGATCTTATGACTGAATACAAGGTTGTGAACTCAAGATTTCTCTGGGTTCGCTATAAACTGGGACTGACGAAGTTATTCCTTTTGGCTGTTTATGTGCCGGTAGCTTCGTCGTCCAGGGCTGAGCTGGAGGAGTTTTGCGAGAATATAAGAGAAGTTCTAGATTTGGTTAAGGGAAACGAAAGAACTGTTGTATGTGGTGATTTGAATGGATGGTTAGGTATCGCTCGACCAGGATACGAGTCGGTGCTTGGAAAGTTTGGCGATAAAAGGGTTAATGATGCTGGCAAATCTGTGAATGCAGTGGAGATGCGATCTCTTCGTAAAATGTGTGGCGTTACCATAGCCGATCGAAAGCGAAACGAAGAGATTCGCAATATGGCAGGATTGAAAGTGGACCTTATCACAAAAATTGATAGGGGCGTACTCCAATGGTTTGGGCACGTTGAGCGAATGAGTGAAGACCGAATGGTGAAGAAAATATATAGAGCGAAAGTAAATATTAAAAGGTGTCGAGGTAGTCCGAGACTAACTTTCGAAGACCATGTGAGCAAATTGCTCGAAGAGGGGAAGGTCAAGAGTACTCGGATACCTAGACGTGCATGTATGAAGAAGTTAATGAACCTGAAAGAAGCGAAAGAGGTTTGTAAGGATCGTGACGCTTGGCGATCTGTTCTCTCTGGCTACCCCGTTAGGGATTGTGCGTGAAGATAAGTAAGTAAGTAAGTAAGTACATTATAGCTTCTCGGTCGGTAAGTCGGGGTCTTACTCGTAATTCTTCAATACACTATCTCTGCACTACATCAGCGCCAACTTCAGAAATGTTCATTTATTTCAGTTCAGTGAAATGTTTCATTTATTGTTAAGTTTTTGTAGACAATCGTTTTTTTTTTTATTAAAAGTTTATATATTTTTTTAGGAATGATATCAGAAAACATAAACTACTTATAAAACTTTAAATGAAAAGAAACTTACCGATACTAATGCAAATATAATTAACAACAAGACAAACACTTTCACTGTCACCATTTTTAATAATATAACGTAACGTTATCCTCAAATCTGTTAAGTAGACTGGTCACAATGAAATGTGGATTTGTTATAATATGTTAGTTACGTCACATTCGAGTTTTATATACCTAATGGTGTCAATCTGTATGTAAACAAACTTATTTGCATAACATTTATTTAATTTGGTCGAGCAAGTAGATGAGTTTGTTTATTTGGGATGTCTTTTCAGCAGGGATGGGAGATATGATAAGTATATAGAACGAAGAGTGAACGCAGGAAATAAAGTAAATAGGGCTCTTCACTCTATCGTGAAAAATCAGAATGTGTCAAAAAAGGCACGTATGACAATTCACAATGCTGTATTAGTCCCTATTTTAACGTATGGTGGTGAGAGTTGGGTGTGGCAGAAGAAGCACGAGAGTACAATAAATGCAGTAGAAATGCAGGCGCTAAGGAGTATGTTAGGGATGAATCTGAGTGACAAGGTGAGAAATTGTGAGAAGAGTGTGGTTTCTAAGATGATATTGTGACCAGGATTAAGAAAGGAATGAGGAAAGAGTGACAAAGCAAACTTATATTACAGAAGTGAATAAAAGAGTCTGAAAGGGACGTCCTAAGCGAAAGTTTTTCGTCCAAATTGGCGATATATTGAAAATAGGCCAAACTAGGAGTAACCTTAACCGACGAGCATGTATGTGTAGGTAAATGTTTGTGACGGAGGCGAGAGAGATGTGTCGGATTGTGCCAAATTTAAGTCTGTAGTCTCTGCCTACCCCTCTGGGTGACAGGCGTGAGTATTTATGTTATATTATTTAACTTACAGAATACTAGAATGGAATAATATGGGTAACCAAAAGGTAATGACTTATAATACGTCTCTTGAGCATTTCAAGTTTAAGAATTTTCACGTCTACCTTTAGTATCTAATAAGTAGTACATTTGCAATCTAAAGTTCAATACGACGTATGTATGAGTCATCACTGCATGTTTTTTGTGTTTTATTTTAATAGAATGAGGTAAACGAGCACAGTCTTGATGGTAAGTGGATGCTGTGACGCATCAATCCATATTACATCGATTAAGGATCAAAATGCAGATGCGTAGCTACCCCTGAGGTTGAAATGTCTCGTTTCCAGTAAAAGGGGTCTCCGGTTCTCTACACTAACCATACGAAACAACAACATTGAGCTGTTATTTGACGCTGGTATTATGTGTGAGCGTGGTCCGTCCACGGTCGAGCCGACCCATTCGTGCTACAACCATAATATCGCAGCAGCATCCGTTTCATTGGATAGACGAAAGAATTTTTAATTTGTTAACGTTAATTACGATGATTGAGCACTAGATCTTAATCGGGACATCTAATAATTTACTCTTTGTTTTATACCACTTAGCTTTCTTTTTCATAGCCTTAGTATCTTCATCACCATCATTACTGTCCATCACAAGTCTACTACTGGACATAGGCCTTCCCCAAAGAGTGTCATAAAGCAGTCCTGAGCCAACTACAACCATCGACTTCCTGGTTCTCTTACCAGGTTGCCAATCCATCTAGTGGGGGTCACCCTAAACTTCGCTTACCGGTACGAGGCTTAATTTAGATAAATAATTTAAAAAAGTCTTTTTAAGTGCTTCCAAATCCTTTTATCCCGACTTTTGTATTTAGGTATTTTCATTTTTGTATATTATTTTGTATGTTTACACAGAATACCAGCGTAACAGTATAAGACTGCTGTGTTTTGTTCGATGGGTGACTAGAAATGGATACCCCTTTTATGATAAGATGCATTTTTTCTTAGTCTTTAGGGATAATAACGCATTCCGCAATTTCTCTTCCCCCTCTCTTATATATTACTATACTTATCGCTCTTTACAATTTTTGTTATATCATTGTGAGCATTCTATCTATTATTTACTTTTTTCAAAGAATATTTAAGAAAATTTTAAAAGTGTAACTATATGATCACCGGTTTACTCTTTAGTGCTGATTCCGCAAAGCTTATTTTCTTTGGTAAGTGTATATATATAATGTTACGAGCTTAGGGTTCAATAATAAAACTGTTCCGAACAAGACTCATTTATGTGTCACAGTATATACTTAACATGTATTTATATGTCACAGTAGTATACTTAACATCTTGTAGCCTGTGTGATAGTTTGCCATCCTTCATCATCATTATTACAGCTCTTCACAAGACCATTGCTAAACAAGGGTTATTGTAACAACAGAGAATATTAATAACAACACATCTTACCAAAAATCCCATATAACACACATCGATTGTTATAGAAAGCAATTTACAATCAGATAATATAACATTTAAATTTTGGTAGTGCCAAGCTACAAGAACACATACGTGACATCATTGATTAAGTTGGCCAAAATTCCCAATAAGGCACGGGGAAAACCTCAACTGTTTTTCCAGCTAAATTTTGACCAGAGTTCCCCAAACTTTTATGTGTCGTAGATCCCTTGCCATGTTTTTCCGTGTTGGGTAGACCCCCTACTTACCTGATATTGATTTCCTGTAAATTTCTAACTGTAGTAAAGTTTATTGTTAAAAACTTAAAGTAAAAACACATGTTAATTTATACATTTATTAATTGAATTTAAATTAAAACTACTCAAAATAATTTTTTGTATCTGTTATGTAAAATATACGTAGCATTAAATAAACATAAAATAAACTATAAATAAAATAAAATAAGCAAAAAGTCAATATTTTTAGTGAGAAGGATGAACCTGATGCTTTAATAATAAATTATCAACATTTGGCGTCAATTTTGTAAGGGTTAATCTTAAATCTCCTCGGCTAATGATGTCTGTTTCTTTTTTTCGTTAGGAGATTGGTAACAGCGCTAAACCCCCTTTCCATTAGGTATAACGATTAGGAAAGGAAATTAAAATTTTCCTCGCTATATTCCATAATACGGGATAAGTAACGGCATTGTTTTTTTGCAGCCAGAATTGCTGATATCCGTTTTTAAACTGAACCTTAAGTTTTTCGTTTGTACTTAGTTCAGTCAGTTCCTCTTGTATTATGACATTCGTTTCTTCTATGTCACCATATGGATTAATTATCCACGGTGGTATTACCATAGTCAAAATATCCTCAAAACTAGATTCAAAATCTGAATAGAGGGCTTTTAAATGTTGAACGTAAGTTGAAACGTCGTTTTCCTGGTAGCTTGTTTGTGACAAATTGAGGAACTGAGAAAATTCGCCCCGTCCAATATATTGCTTCATTAGTTTAACTCTGGCAAGAAACGCTGATAAGATGAACTTTCTTTTGATCAAATTAAAACTGTCGCCTTGTAATTAATAATTAAATTACATAAGAAGCTTTCAATATCAGAACTCATTTCAATAATACGTCTTTCAACAGTATATTTGCTTAAGGGAATTCTTTTAATGATATCAGATGCAGGTTTGTGTAAAACAGTTTTTAAAACCTCTTCAACGGCTGGCAAAATTAACTTCTCTCCGATAGTATGCGGTTTTCCGAATTTTGCTATAAGTAACGAGATATTGTAAGACGCCCGCAAACCATCATCTTTTCCTTGTGACGTCGAAGCGAACATTCTGTCCAGTGTAGGTCTCTTCTGAAGTTTATCTTTGAGTGTTTGAAAGTATTTCAAATCTTTCTCTGTTTTATCAGGGTGGCATCTTCTCAGATGATCTTGCAGTTTAGATGGTTTCATAGCGTCATTGCCCAAAACTTTGTTGCATAAAAGGCACATAGGCAATTGTTTGTCCGGCAATGATGGAATGAAGCCAAATTTCAAATAATCGATACTGTACTGTCTACATTTCTTTTTAGATTCGGACATGGCATCGGTCATCTCTTAACAAATTTAAATTATTTAAACAAGACAGATAATCCAGCAGCTTTATATTAAAAATATTTTTTGATTTTCCGAAAACATTCCATAATTCGAACATCTTCTTGCAACAATTAGCTCGAATTACGGAGACTGCACTGTAATTATAATACCGATTGCTAAAACTTTAAAAAAGAAACTATTGAGGAGTACTCGTGTAATTTTGCGTGATTGAATATTAAACTACTAATAACTAAAGTCATGATTGGCGTAATTTATCTATCTTTGCTAACTACGAGTACAAAACTAAAATTTAATAATAAAAAATAATGTACTTACTTTTCTCTAGCACACTTAAACAAAATAACACTGACTCACTATAATTTGTGTGATATACTATCTGTTTACATTTTTTTAAATATTTTGTTATTTGCACTTTCCTTTTCAAGATTCAGGAAACGAATAAACGTATTTGTCCCACATTCGTATTTATAGAGTGACGAATTGAACAAGTCAGTGCAAGGTAGCGAAGCTCTGAGACTGCGACTCTCAGGTTTTTACAAGTTCAAAATGTATTGCGACCACAAAGCGAATACCAACATCCTACAACTTACACAATTTTATAAACATATAATTATAATAATTTTTTTACTTCATAGGTACTCTTTATAAATAATGTATATGTTTTGATATTATACGATAGTATGATGTAAGTAAATAGGTACTATCAGTGTATGTGTTGAGATCCACTATCGTGGACCCCCATTTTCATTTCATGGACCCCCAAATTTTTTTTCGCTGTCGTAGATCCCTTGCAGGTTGTCATAGACCCCTAGGGGTCGATATAGACAACTTTGGGAATCACTGATTTAGACCATACATGCTAAATATTTGCGCAATATCGATATAGACGAACTCTGCAACGACGTTGATGTTTTGTTATAAATAGTGTGTTAATAGAAAATGTAAATTTACATAAAAACATAAAGAATTATAACACAAAATAGATAATTTAAATTTTACTAATTTATATTTTAAGTAAATTAAAAGAAAAATATATTTTACAAAATTATACCGTATGACTACAAACTGGCACTCTTATTCATTTTACTTATTTGCCGGAAAAATTAATGAGGACTGTCGTGGTTCGGAATTTGAAAAATAAAACCGCATACGTTTCAGATATGTGCAAATAT